ACTTCTAGAAGAAAAGTGGCTTTGCGTTTCATTTAGCAGAAGGCAGCAGCCATCCACATTGGGAACATGTTCATTATTGCTGAGGGATCTGCCTTTGAGTTTTTAAACCAGCTTTGTCCGGCTGTCGCAGGGCAGGGTGGAAGCAGGATGAGCGGAGGCGATGTCTGCCCTGCTGCTGGCACGGGCAGGTGCCTCTGCAACCCTCTGCGTCTCCCTGGCAGAGGCAGCTCCGTATCCTATGGAAGATGGAGCCATGAGAGCTTTTATGGTCCAGGTTCACACAACAGCAGAGAAACAGCAGCCCCCAACGAGAGCGGGAGGACCACTTTCCCACCAGCCAGGGCTCATTTCACTGCCAGCAGTTGTGTTTTATCTTTGCCAGCGTTAACCACTGCAGCTCAGGATTTATGTTAGTAAGTGAATGCAACCAAGGCTGATAAATCAGTCAACACAACCAAAAATAGTGCCTGGCAGCTGTTGGGACTAGGGGATCCCTTCCCCACCAGTATGTGCAGAGCAGGAGGGGATTTTATCCGTCCCGGCCGGGTGCCAGCCCTGCGCAGAAACAGCCATGAGCTGCTGGGGAGACTTCTCGTCTGACACCTTTATCTGGAAAAATTACTGTGGCTGTCTGCAAACTTCTCTTCGATGTGCATCTTAGCCAGGCATTTCCCAGTCACCAGGGTGGGGGAAATAACCGAGCCAGCCGCCAGTGCGGAGAGCAGCTTTGCGACCGATGCTGAGTGTTGCTGCATGGCCTGACGTCCTGGGATCGCCCCAGACCTCAAACGATAAGCGATTTTAAAGCTTCTTGTGGTCGGTCGTGGATGGAGTCACAGAGGGAGCCCAGGGCTGCGGTTTGCAGGTCCTCCAGGACAGCGTGGTGATGCTTTGTGTAGGGATAAGGTTACCGGAGGAATCTGGTGACTCTCGTTTTTCCACTGGACTGCTGTATTTAACCACCTGCACAGGAGCCAGAGAGGTTTCTGTAAAGCAGAGCAGCCTGTACGGCATCTTGCGAGGGGCTGTATTTCCTCGTTCCTTCTCCAGCGGGCATCCTGGGGTGAGTATTGTCAGGCGTGGAGCCTGAACCAGGAGGGACGGGCACTCCCAGAGGATCAGCTGCTTTCGGGCTGAAGAGTCCATAGATTATTTCCACATCTGTGTTAGCTTTGGCTTGATCCCACAGATTTGCAACAGCTGTTGGGAAGCAGAGCAGAGATCCCCTCTTTAAATGGATGATCAAATCCTCAGAGTGTGGAGTATGTTATTTCTATGTCATCCTCTTCATGGCAGGAAAACCAGCTTTTAAAAGTTGCTGAGGCAGCACCCTGCCCTGCTGCCTGAGCTATCATCCCATCATCCTGGGGTTTCAGAGCAAGTCATAATTTGTTCTCTGCATCCCACACCCGGCCCCACACAAGGTCCTTTGCGAGGTGTGCGGTTGTGCAGGTACCTGTCCAAGGGATGCCTTTTTTCTCCTGGGCTCCCTTTCCTGCGTGGACCACGACCAGTGGACGTACGCTGAGCGGGACAGAGGAGGAGCTCATCTTCTTTCCAGAACTTTCACGTGTGCAAATCCTCGGCATTTTACCCTGCAAAGAACTAGCGGGTGCAATAGTTTGCCACAAAATGGGTTAGGTCATCCTAGTGTTCGGAGGCTTTAGGTGGAGATCGGGTGTCTTTGCTGGAAGCCGCAGTTCAGCTGCAAAATAGCGACGTGGTGTGGGAATCCTGCAGTGAGCTATCTTACCCAAAAAGCCCAGCTAAAGTGCGCCAGCCCATTTCCCATCAAGGTTCTGCTCTTTCAGGTCAGACCTGCAGCCAGAGAAGCCATCAGGCTTCCTTCAGAAGTGTCTGACAGGCTTTGGGAAGCCGAGTCTGGCTGAAGAGGACCAGAGTGTTGGGAATGGGGGTAGATCCTGGCACTCGTCCTGCAGCACGTGCGTTTCTCATTCCCCATCAGCTTTTCTAGCGCACAGGAGAATCATCAAACCAAACTGCTCCCACTTTAAACGGCACATTCGTGTGCTTTCCGATACAGACAGCAAAATGAATATGGTTAGTGCATCGAGACTGCTAATTTGCAATTCAAGCCTTTTATAACCGGGCTTAGGATGACAACCCAGTTCCAGTTGTCTTACGTGCAATTGTCGTGTTTGTTCATGGGTGTCGTATGATGGGTTTCAGTGATAACCCAGGCAGCAAATATATTGCAAATAGTAAGCGCTGCTCAGCGTGTATGAAGCTCTGAAACGTTTGGCGTGACCTGGGATGGTGATGCCCGGGAGCTGCAGTTTTTGCACAGATGCGAGGTAAAACCTTGCAGTTTTGATTGCTTTTTCTCGTTCGCCCAAGGTGTGACTGAGCGTGACATGATGTTCATTGGGTTCAAGTCTCAGAGCTTGGTGATGGATGCGTTCCCCCAGCAGCAACAGGTGCCTTATTTGCCTTTTTTGATGCTTTTTGACTGTTTCGACACAGGCCTAGCTTCATGCTCGCTTGAGGCGTTCTCTGGTGGACCCTCAATGTTGAGTTAGAAGTGACAGCTCTCCATTTCATGGGGACAGAGTGTCTGGGTTGCCGATGACCTCTACTGCAGATGTCTGGGCAGCCAAGACCAGTCTCCACAGTTTGAGCCCAGTGGGGCCTGGTGACTTACACATCCTGAGAAGACCCAGGGCCAGTTGTTGGCGAGAGCTGCCGTGTCTGCTGGACCCCACAGGCTGCCTGGAGCCAGCCCCGCACCGCTCGCACCAGCGCTTCCACCGGGAGTGAGTTTGGGTTGGTCTTAGCCCCTTACCTGGGGTGTCCCAGCCCCGTCCCTCTGAGCACAGCGGGTCGATGCAGCCTCTCGAAGAGCAGACCCTGCCGCTTCCCCGGCCAAGCAAAACTGCCACCGCCGCCGTAGTGCCCCAGGGGAGCCGCTGCCCGCATACAAAGGACTCGGCAAAACCAAGTGAAATGTAAGCAACTATTTAAAGAGAACGATCCAATTGCTATTTGTAATTTCCTCATTGTTTGCAACACCCTCTTAAATGCCTGTGATTCTTATAAAGAGCCTTTCCCCACCCTTTAAACTTCACAGAAGTGGATTTTACCTTCTGTGGTTTGAATGCTCTCGTTGTGACGGGGCTGATTTGCATTTAGTATGATTTCTTTTTTCTTTTCGTGCCCAGGGCCATTTGGTTTGTGAATCGGCATTGTGAATGGGTCGGCTTGTCCCAAGAAATACATCTATTGGAAATTGAAGGCTGATGGTCAGGACACAAAACCTTGCCTCTCTCTAGGTCCTGGTAGATGGAGGTTGAGAAAGTCTTTGCAGATCAGTGGTAATGCTTTCCTTCAGACCCAAGAGTGTTTTGCTAACACCGCTTGCAAGCAGGGTGACTTTTGTCACTCATCCAAATACATCTGTAAAAAAGTTTTGGAAGAAATACTTAACACGCTGAAACCTGAATGAAAACATATGAAAACCTGAATGTGGATGTGACTTTCTCCCTCAGCTAGATCTCTGTTGAGACCTGCACATCGCATCCCATTCCTGCCCTCGTTGCCTGGTCCCCAGATCACTCGCGTCTCGGGAGATGGGATTGCCTCTATTCGGAAATCAGGGATGGCGATCCGCAGAGTTGTGGCCTCTTCCTCTGGAAAAAAACCCTGGGTCCAGTTTCTGTGTGAGATACTGATGGAAGCAGCAGCACGGCGTGTGAGGGTTTCTCCGGCTCTGGTGCTCAGAGCCTCGCTGGCGCTGTGTGGGGCTCTCGGTGGTCCCCCCCCTGCCCTTGTCCCATGGCTGGGTTTTATTCTCCAAAGCCAAGCGACTTGTAAACACCCGGAGCCCAAGGGGCTTTGCGGAGCAGAGCTTGACGTTAGGGGAAGGTGGTGATTCATTTCCTTCCCTTCTGGCTCTCAGTTACGGTTTGGCTTTTGTTTAAGAGTTTGATAATTCACCATGGGGCTGTTTAGGTTGAAATGCTTGGAGAAAGGTAAGTAAACGTGGTGATCGCAGCAGCTCCTCCATGCGTGGCGGGGACACCGGCTCCTCCGGCCGCAGCCAGCCCACACCTGCAGGCTGGGCCGTGCCAGCAGCTGTCATCGTCTTCTTCCTCCCCATCCCAGTGAGCTTCTGTACGTGCATTAAGCTCCAAATTATCCTGTGCCAGAAGCATATGCTGAGAAATGTCAACCCAGCGCTGTGTGACACGCGGAGCACTCAGTCACCGGTGTTGTGTGGAGCCAAGCTTGCTGCAAAACGTAAAGATCAGCAGACAGCAACATCTAGACCAGGATGCCCAAAACGTGGCCATTGCAGCCTGCGGGGCTTCTGCCCGTAGCCGGCGGGGACCGCTGCGGGGCTGGTGATGCAGGATAGACGAGCTGGGTGACGCGGCCCCCAGGCTAATGTCAAACCCCTTAATCAGCTCCTGGGAGCGAACCCGGGAAGCCTCTGTTGCAGCAGAATCGTGTTTCTGTGCGTTGGCCTTGTTTTCAGCGTGGCTGTGTCTTGGCAGGGGTTGCTGGTTTGTTTAATGAACGTTGAAATGGGAGGGGAGGAAACAGCCGGGGAAGCATTACAAATTGCTTCAGAGCAGTGACATTAGAAGTGCTTGTGCTTACCATGTCTTCTAAACAAAGACTTCAAAGTATGGTAAATATTATCTCCATTTTACTTGCAAAGAGGCAAGTGCAGCAGGAGGAGAAGCGTTACCTGCGCTCAGAGGCAAGCCCGCAGCAGGTGTGAGACCGACGGTGGTCTCGGCTGCGGTACGGAGGGGATGGTGTTGATGGTGGGGGTCTCTGCAGGCACTGCAGGTCCAGGCTGGCCCAGCAGCTTTGGAGAGATGCCCTCACGTAACTTCGCACGCGTTGCCAAAGCACCAGCTCTGTTTCTTTGCTTAGCTCTGACCTCTGGTCTGAAAGGTGCTAACGCTCCAAAATCTTCCTCTTCACGCTGCCAAGTTTACCTTTCTCCTCTCACCTCCCCATCTCTTTTACAGCTGAAGCTGTGGAACAAGTACAGAGTCTCCAACATTCCTTCCCTGATATTTATTGATGCCTCCACTGGGAAAGTGGTTTGCAGGAACGGCCTCCTGGTCATCCGAGATGACCCAGAAGGTAAGACCTGGAGTCCCGTGTGCCATAGAAACATGGGCACAGAGCTGCCTTTTCATTTCAGTTCTTTTTGAATTTCCTTGAAGGGGTGAAAAAAAAAAGGAAACAAACAACTATTGTCATACTTAACTAATCGAGGCACTATATTATTTTCAGCATAAAATTTTCTGCATTGTTGCTGCCAGATCTTGTGTTTTGGTTTTGCTTGTTGAAAAGAACAAAGATTTCCCCTCCAGGATTTTTGTCTGAAGTGCTAATGAGGCAAAAGTTAGACTAACTGAAACGTTAAGTTTGGATTTTTCCCTGATGGAGGCACATGGACAGACAGACTGAGGGCCCAGACCTTCCGTACCTTGGGAGCAGAATCCTTCCAAAATACTGAGTGGGACTTTGTCACTGACATCACACTCGGTTAGGATAATGAATTCCCCGTTATTTACAAATGTAACAGAAAAATGCTACTGTTCTCCGTTTCTGAGGTTTACTGTGCTGGGGGTTGATGTTGAATCCATCTTCTTTCAATTTGCAAAAGCCAAAATGGGCAAAATGCGTGCCCTTACTCATAGACTCTGCAGACCCATCATTCAGCTGCCACGGGCCGTCCGCGTACACGTGCTACTGGCTCGTCGTTTCTTCATGCAGTAGATACCGAGCGCAGTGACAGAGTCTGTAATTCAGGTGGCAGGAACTGTACAGCAAGTACACGTTGTGGCCTGAGCCATCTGTGATGTTTCCTCCTCTCTGGCTGAATGCATGGATTGATTGCTCTGGGAGCTGGCAGCAGATGATTCAGAGCATGTGTTGGTGTGTACACACACATGCTTGCTTTGAGGTGCAGAGGGTTAGTGTAAGTTTAGGGTTTTTATATGTATGTGTGTGTGTATATAAATATATATATAAACCATCTCTTACATATATATATAAGGTTTTGTAAATAAATAAGTATATGTATATATATAAAAATATATGGTTAGTATCAGTATAAGGCAAATAGTCTGACTGCATTCCTGAGCACGTAGCACCTTGCCCTCTGTTGTTAAAATAAATGCTGTTGATAAGGAAAAGATGCCTCATCAGGCACAAAGCCAGAGCAGGTTTCGTCAAGCCGAAGG